AAAGCACCACTGACCCAGAATTCAACAAGATTTATGCTCCTTTAAGTGAGAGCTGCATCAGTCATGCAAAAAGGCTACACTGTCTTCATTCAGTGTTTTAATATTTGTTTTGTATTGCAGATAATTTAAGACTTAGGGGGGAAGGAATTGAAATCAGAAAGTTAAATTTTCCAGAATATACATATCAGAAGATGAGCACCGTGTGTGCATGCTTCAAGTTACCTGTTAACTTATGGCAACCTCATGAATTTCATAGGGTTGTCTTAGGCAAGGAATATTCAGAGGTAGATTTTTCAGTTCCCTCATCTGCCACATAGCCTGCAGCACCTGGTTTTTCTTGGCAGTCTCCCATTCAAGTACTAACCAAGACTGAACAGAGTGCATATATTCCATACATTTGGGTTATGGCATAAACATTGGTAGCTCCTATTTAGGTAATATTAGGTCATGGACTTACCATATATACACAACTATTAGTTGACCTCATGTATAAGTTGAGGGCAGGTTTTGAGCCCAAAATTGTGGATTCTGATAGACCCATGGATAAGTCAAGGGTAAAACCTAGGGCCATGTAACCAAGGATGTAAAGGATGGAGCAAAAGAAAACAATGCCAAAGAACTTACAAAATTCCAGCAGGCGTAACAGTTTGTGCTCACACTGAAGGTTGGATGGATGAAGGGGGTCAGTGCTACCAGGACAGGTTATGCTCTTGCCTTTCACTAGGGGATGGTTTCTTTAAAAAAAATTAAAAAATCAAAGTACAGTACTTACAATGGATAGGTTGACTCAGGTTTTTTGGATCAATTTTTTGACTAAAATTTGTAGATATATACAGTAATTACTTAATTTTGTATGCCAGACCTACATTTGGAGGTTGTCCTTTTATTTTGCTGAGTGGAGCTTGAGCTTCCATCCCAAAGTCTACCCTGACATATTTTTTAAAAAATGTTTGATTTTTTAAAAAACGTTTTGCAGATTAATATAGAAACGGGGATGGAGGAGACTTGCTGTCATTTTTATTTGCTATGAACTCACCTTTGACTTAAGATGACTCAATGAATGAGAGGCCTCCAGGAGCCCCTGTCATCAACAATCCTGATCAGGTCTTTCAAGGTTGTGTCTTCCTTGCTTGAGTCAATTCATCTGTAATGTAGTCTACTGCCTTCCATTTTTCCCAGCATTGTCTCATGATGTGTCCAAGGTAAGCCTTAGTGCTGTCATTTTGGCTTCTTGAGAGATTTCAGACTTGATTTGCTCCAAGACCTATTGGTCTTTTTTAGCAGTCACTGGTATCCATAGAGTTGGATACCAGTTGCTGGTATCCTGTCTTCCAGCACCACATTTCAGATGAGTTGATTCTCTTCCCACTAAGTTTCTTTACTGTCCAGCTTTTATAAGCAATACATTAGAAAAGCATACATAATAAAACAGTCCAAAATGTAACAGATTTAAGAATGAATATATTTTAAACTTACACAGACTTATAATAGACTAGTGTTTCTGTTGTTACCATGCCTGTATGCCTTTTCCTTTCTACTTAAGAGCAGCCTTGATTTAGGAGTATGATTATCCAAGCAGTTTTGGTGATCAAAATAACTAAAGATTTAAAAAGTTACTATAGCCCAACCTGTTGATCAGTGGTGACCTGGTAGGCCGACACATACATAAGTCATTGGGTCTACTATTGTTAGGCCTGAAACATATTGTTAGTACCATGTCTGAATACATTGTATATAAAAAGCTCGGTGCCTGCAATAGATGCTTTGGGACAAATGCAGAATCTTCTAGTACAGTTGTCCCTTGTTCCAGATCCCCCCACAGATAGCAAAAAACCTGGGTCCTCAAGTCCCGTTCTGTCCCCTGGCCACGCATGCATGCACACATGGCCATTTAAAACAACAGGGCTTGCTGTCTGTAGAAGCTCAGATCCGCAGATGGCAAACCCACAGATAAAAAGAGCCCACTGAATACTCAGTACTTTCTACATGTGGCCTTAATTCAGAAACCCATATGAGAGCTTTCTAATAGAGTACTGCAGTTTCTTGTTGCATATCTCAGTGATTCAATACAAAATTAGTTCATCAGTCAGTAAAGTCTTCTAGTACACATTATTGAACTCTATCCCACTTGTCAAATCTGAGTGTTTTATTCAATCCTGCAGTTTAGATTTTATTTTTAATGCCAATTTCTATTTAAGTATGCTGGGTTGGTCTTTTATTTAGACCACCCTTGTTGGAATTGTAGCATCGGTGATTGTGATATAATTTATATGATCGTGCATTTGGTAGAATCTAAAGTTTTAGATTCACTTTTATGTCAGGGGTCTTTGAAGAAATCATTTATACCTTGTTCTTTCCTCTGAGTCTGTAAAATTGAAAAGTAGATGACAAACTTTTATATAGCTATAATAACATGTTTTCAAGGTTAGTTGGTCTCAATAGTAGGTTTGTGCTGTTGATCATACTGAGCATAGATATGTTTGCCTTCCGTATTTGGTTCCATGGTTTTGTGACACGAAAGGAAGAAATGTGGCATGCTAATAACTTTGGGAACTTGCAGAACTAAAAAAGAGAATACTTTAAAAGTTGTGAGGAGCTTTTGTTCCATAGTTGGCAGCTTCCCAGGGGAAGAAATAGTTTTGGATATGATAAAAACTTGGAACAGCATTTTTTTTTCTTCAGCTGGTAGTTCAATTACACCTTTATCAGTGTCCAAATAAATGTAGAATGTAGAGTAGTTAAATGTGGAATGATTTTTGCTTCTGTCAACTTAAAATTCAAGAAACAAGTCATATCTCCCTGTGAAAGAAACAGAAGCATTTTGTTATAGAAGAGGTAGAAATCATATGTTTTTCTAGATGTTGTTGGATTGTAAGTTGTTAGGAATGTTGCGATAACATCCAGAGATCTACATGCTTTCCTCCCTTCGATATAGAGTGTTTCTTGTTGTTTTATACTAGATGGATTATCCACAGCTCCTCCTTCATTTTACAACATTTTGAGAGAGGAAGAATGAGAGTGTGACATGATGTGTATAATGGCATGTTTGGTAGACTCTATCAAACACACTTCATTCTACACTTCATAATTTATTATTTTCACAATAAAAACAGAAATATCTTTGGAATGGTGTGTTGTAAATTAGTTTAAATAATTGTCAATAATAGTATGTTGCAGTCTTTTAACTTTCTACATTTTACTTATGGTGAGCCAAGTTGAGGGAAAGACTTGTCTACAGACAAAAAGGACGTAGTAAGAATGTGTCTGAAATCTAATTCGGTCTAGCAGACATCATGCACTTTCTTATTATTTGACATTTGTGAATGTATTTCTGTATCTTCTGCCTCAAACCATTACACTGTGAAAAAACTAACTAAAACATAACTTTTAATTTGCAGTCCATGAAACGGAACAAACCTATTAATAGAAAATACCAATGAAAATATAACATGCCGTTAAAAGACAGCTAAAAACCCTCTACATTTTTACCTTTTGCTTTTCTGTTTCAGGCAGAAATGGGGCAGGCATGGCAAAGAAACCATTCACTCCACTCAATAAAAGTGAGCATTATAGTGTTCAAATAATGCTCTCTATATGCCATGATTTGCAAAGCTTTATACAATACATTCTTGTTGCTTTTAATTTCAACAGAAGTCACATATAGTTTCCAAAGACTTTACATACACTATATGTACTAATGTACGTACTTTAGTTTATACAAAAGGCTAAATTACTGCATTGTTCCTTTCTAAAGGGCCTGTGCAGTGACATGGCCTCATCAGGAGGCTAAGGGAAAATATCTTGTTTTAAGCCTGTCCTAATTTGGGCTGTTTCCTTCCAACTGTTAACATTTTGTTCATCTGTTTGCTATTTCTTCCATTCACTTATATTCCAACGCCTCCACTCTGGTACCCATAGCAACACTTGCTAATGCTAATGAAACTGCAGCATCTAAAGCCTCTTTACTGAACAATGCTGTTAAATGTAGCTGTTAAATACAGTTGCATTTCTTTCAGTCTTAGGTTCCAGCTTGGAGCAAACTCTTAAAGTGTCATGATCTGTTAACTTGCTGCTCTTCATCACCCTCCCCAATTATGCCTTTATGCCATGAGGTCTTGCATTGATAGTAGTGGATGCTTAAGAAGATCCATATGTAGCACTTGTAAAATTGACCCAGTTTAGCTGTAGGATAAAGAAATCTTTTGAAGTATTAAATTTGCATTCAGTAGACCACTGCAGAATACTGAGGCTGATTGATCTGTGGGATGTGCTGTCTCAGAACACATTGATGATTTACCACATTACTGCACTACATTTACTAATTCCCATGTAGCATTAATAGCATGTTAACAAGTAAAATAATAGGCAAATGGTTCCTATGAGATGAATAAAATAGTAATTTAGTATATTGGAAGAATCTAAAATATTTTACAGTGTTTGAAGGTTCAGTTCCTTTAACTGTGAAACCACATTCTGCAGTCTTAAGGCAGAAAACCCATTGCTTCTCTTATGCTAAACAGCTGCTTCATCAACTTTGACATGGAAGTATTTTTTCATACCTAGGACATCTAAATTCATGAAATCATATGAAAAATAATGTGAATGTATGTAGCAATAATGTAAACTCTAGTTGCAGTATATGCCCGCTGCCTAGATGCCCAAGAAATCTACCACTGTCCCAATCATAGTTAAAAGACCTATTTGGCCAAGTTTTTAAGCAGATGGATGGATATGGGGACATCAGGATCATGTATCCTTTATCTCTGCGTACCAGACATAATTATCTCAGTAGGCTTCCAGCCAGTATTGGATGTCTGCTTCTGTGGAGTATAGGTCTATAATTATCAATATTTATTACATGAAAGTGAACATAATGCCCATTGTACTGTATATACATTTATATCAGTACATCAGAATCAGGCATTCTTTCTTATTTTGAGAGTTGGGTGTAGTATATGCTGAATAGTTGGGAGTTGTACATGTATGTGTACTTACAGAGAGACAGTGTAGTGCAGTGGTTTGACCAATGGACTAACACTCAAGAGAAGTGGGTTCAAATCCCTGCTCTGCCACAGAAACCCACTGGGTGACTTTGAGCAAGTCAAATTCTGACTTGCCCCAAGGACAAACTCCCTCTGAATAAATTTTGCCAAGATAACACCATGATAGGTTCACCTTAGGGTTACCATAAGCCAGAAATAACTTGAAGGCATACAACAACAAATATGTACTTAAAGATCCTCCCACTTATCCATATCTCAGCATGCAAGGATGGGGAAGTTTCAAACTTTCCCTCCATATATACAAAGATCTAGAGATAAATTGGTGCATCTTTGGAGGGGAAAAGCCTATCCCTTTCTCCAAAAATCCCTACAAAGATTGCATTTTCACCCCTCTGCTACTAACAACACAGAAACAACTGTCTTGGTAGTGGGATCACCACAGTTTGAGAAAGGTTTTCTCCTCTCTCACCCCCACCCCCAGCAAGATCACTTGATGTGTCCTGGAGTGAAAG